TCCCGGTTTGGGGATCCCGGTCCCGGTTTGGGGATCCCATTCCCCACCCCCCTTTCCCCCCCACCCTCCCCATTCCCCCCGGTACCGGGGGGCGGGGGCCGGGCCGGGCCGGGGGGGAGGTGCCCGGGCTCGCCCGGCCCCGGTGCCCGGGAGGCGGCGGAGCCTCCCCGGTGCGGGCCGGGCGATGGCGGCGCCCCCGGGGCGGCGGGAGCGGCTGCGGGCGCTGGCGCTGGGCCGGGGGGCGCTGGGGCTCGAGACCCTCCTGGACCTGCTGCTGGGGCTGGCGGGGGGGCTCCGGCACCGCCTCAACAACCGCGACCCCCCCGGCCGGGCCGGCGACACCGGCGGCGGCGACAGAGAGAGCGACGGCGACAGCGACAGCGACAAACACGTCCGGGACTTTCTGAGCTGGGGTAAAGAGGAGCGCCGGGACCGGGGGTTCGGATTGGGGGGTTCGGATTGGGGGGTACCGAGACCGGGGGTTCGGATTGGGGGGTTCGGATTGGGGGGTACCGAGACCGGGGGTTCGGATTGCGCGGCCCCCGCGTTTTGGCGCGGCGGCGTTCCGCGAGTCGGCGGAGCGGTGAAAAGGAGAAGCCAGGGAGTGAGCCGGGGGCGGCGGGGGGGGGGGGGGGGGGATGCCAAGCAGGAAATAAAATTACTTATTACAGCATCTCACTGGCATGGCAAATGTTTCATGTTTAATCTTCAATTCTTTCTCTAAATACCTCTTATTTGTACCACATTTTCTTTCTATGCTACTCCCTAATATTGCTTATTCCTAATCCTCAACCCAACTTGAAAATTTCAATATTGGCTATAGTTTATGACACCATTATGAAATCACAAAGCACTGCTTATATGTTTATTACTATTGTTGACACATTCCATGTGTTCTTGACAACCATACAGTTGCTACCTCAGTGACAAACTCTCTGCCCCACCAGAAAACTGAATCAGAGAGCAGACTTTAGAAAAACTTTTTACTTTTTCCCAATCCCCACCATAACATAATCAAATATTATTTGCTACTTCAGGCACAGTCATCCACACAGACTGACAGTTTTCATTCATGTCACTCCAGATTTGCTAAAGATTGTGCTTTTTAGATCTTTCACTGCCAGCACTTAAACCATAGAGATGCTCAGAAACGTTCTGTATCAGAAGTATCTGGAGTTTGAGTGGGTGGATTGCCTTTGAGTATTTTGTTATGGGGAAACAACACTAAATTTTGGCATTAACAGCCATGACATTACTGGCACAGTCAAAGAGATAAGAAATTAATTTCTACAAGACCTTTCAACAGTCAAAACAGATCGATGGTTTACTACGTTTAGTTCTATGCCTACTGCTTGCTCCATTTCTTACATACTTGTCTCACTTTGGAAGCCCACAAGTAGTTCAATCAACTACAGTGCAGCATGGTAGTAATTTGTTAGAGCTTTCAGAGATATAAGGGACAACTGCATTTTCATCTTTTGCAAGGGGTGTTGCAACAGGATGATTACAGAGCTTGTGTTTCACAAAGTCACTAAAACATAAAGTCATTAATTTTGTGGACAGTAGCAGCATTTGTAAATATACTGTCTTGCTTTAAGACAATTATATGAAGTGGACAGTCCCAAATTAGTTAGTTCCCCTTTTAACCACTCCCTTTTCACCAATAAGTAGAATGCGAGAAGATGTAGGTGAAAAATATCTTGGCAGCACAGTGAGAAATAAGAACTCCATGTTTCTGTTGCTTGTCTCTTACTAGGACCCCAGACTAACCTCTTCCGCAAACCTAGGATAAAACACTCTGGTTCTGCTTCAGGTTCCCAGGTCTTAAAGTGATAATTTTAAGCAGGTAACCATAGAAAAGATATGGAATACAATACACTTTTTTTGGTTGCTCAGAATATGTACAAATATTTCTACACTGGAAAATGCAATGCTGATCTCTAGGAACAAAGGCTGGGAGGGTTCTTTACAAGGAAGCTGAGAGAAGTACAGAAACATGCTTGATGTTGCCCACATGAGAGTCTCAATAACTGAAATGTGATTGCTATTTCTTTTGAAAATAAATGATAAAGCATTACTGACTTGGACTATTAGAACAATCCGAGAGAGACTTTACGGAATTTGTGCACATAATATTACATTTTAATCCCTTAAAGAGCTGAGGGGATGTGAAATACAGGAAAATAAAATGACATCTTGCAATGATTTGTAAGTATGTTCAGGATTACAAATTTGTGTCTGCCCTGTACACTTTCAAAGGTTTGTAGAGATACCACTTTAAATATTGTAGCATTGATAATATGCTACTTTGTACCTGGAAAATTTGATTTGTATTTGATTAATGTTTTAATATTTTCTGTGATATCACTTTGACATGTACTGGTTAGCTCTTGATTTGCAGGGCATTTTGTAAATAATTTTCTACGGGAACTTTTAAAAATCAGGTATGTCAAAAGTCACAGTGATGCAGCGAGAAACCAGACTGACTGCCACAAGAATTGGGGTCAGTAGGTAAACTATTAATTTGTTGGTATTGTGAGAAGTTCAAAACTGGGCCTCTAACAGTCCTTATTTTTGTCATCCAGGAATCATATTCAAAGGAATTATTGACTCACATTCATGTAACATAATCATGTCAAGTTCAGCCTGACAAAAGCAACTCAACTGTATAAGTATGCAAAATGATCAATCACAAATAAGTCAAATGCAATTAAAAAATAAATATTTACCAATTGTGCAGTCTCCTGTAAGGTTAATAGGTTGAGGATTTTCAGTACTAGGAAGTCAATTGAAGACAAGATTGTAAGGCTGAGTGCTTATTTCAAGTCCATAATTTATTAAGCCTTTGGAATCCAGATACTCTCTTTTTCCTGAGAAGAGCTCTTAACAAGTTGTCCTATCAAAAGCCTTACTGATCTCCAAGTCATCAGCTTATCAGAAGTGATGGCTTATGACAAAGATATGGGCAGCTCCTCAACTAACAAGAAATTGGAATCACAATTAGATGGTTATTTTTCTTGTAAAAGCATTTCATACCCTTACTATTGACCTGTCATGAGGAACTGGCTGAGATCATAGCATAATGACTTGGTTCAGAACTCCTTTGATGTCTAGCAAAAGCCTAAAAATATTCTTATTCAAATATTTCATCACCAGAACTTTTAAAATCTTTTTATAATTCCCAAGCTGATAAGGTCATTGTAATGTAAAGACATTGACATCAATATGAATAAAACTCTCCTGTAAAGGCAAAGTCCCACACAAAACTATCCAGTAATAGTAATTTTAATTTTAAGAGACAGAACAAAGAAGACAAATTAGCTGAAGCACACTTTGCAAATGAAAACACGACTTAACACTGTAACACTTTAAAGAGCACAAATATTGAGTAAGTGGTACAACAGATTAAAGGTCTTCATCTCTCCCATGAGGTACACATAAGAGCTAGAAAAATATAAATGTTTAAATTATTATACTGCATAATACTTCTCTCCCCAACCCTTCATGTTCATGCATTTTGTTAAAAAAAAAAAGACGTAACACAAAAAGGAGGATTTGTTTATTCAATATTCCTTTGTTTTGATTGCTGTAGTATCACATGGTAAAACCCACACAGATACAGATCCCTTTCTCAGCTACCTTATTACTGGTCAAAGCAATGTAATTTCCCTGAAGTTGGTAAAATTATAGTGGTTTAAGTGTTGAACTACAGACAGGAGTAACTCCTGTCAGTACCCAGTACCCAGCTGCCTAAATTCTAACTCAGGTAATTCTCCCATTAAACTAAGGGAAAGAAAAAAGCTAAAGTGCAGAAAATCATGATGCCAGAGGAAAGGTTAAAGTTCAGATTTTGTGCTATGAAATAACTTTGTATGAAGGATAAATGTCTTAGTACCATGATAGGCCATAATTGGTCTCTTACACTGATGTAAGAGACAGCTGCAACACCTTAGAAGGTGTCAAAGACTCGTGAAATGTTCCATGA